CTGGTAATCCCAGTGGCTCTGGAGACTGATGGCAAGTTCAAAGCCAGCCTCAGCAAAAGCAAGGCACTAAGCAACTCAGTGAGACCCTCTCTATAAATTAAAAAATACAAAATAGGGCTGGGGATGTGGCTCAAGTTAAGTGCTCCTGAGTTAAATCCCCAGTATCCACTCCCCCCCACCCCCAAAAAAGGCAATAGAACCAAATGACTATAAAGGAAAGGTCTCAGAAGACCTTATTATCAAAAAGGGGGGAACAAGAGGTCTTTAGAACATAACAAAATATATCTAAGAATAAAGAATATTCTATGTACTAATATAAAATATATTTAACATTTAAGAACAGGGATCTGTGATATCTCCATGTTTAATCTGTTTTCAACAATATTCTGAAGGGGAAACCTCACTTTAGTGATTTCATATTTTCAGACTATAAAAAAACATCTGGTGAAGAGTTGGACAATTAAAAGGGGACTGTGAAGTCCTGTAGTAACAAGTAGATGTGGGTACTCCTGTGGACACTTAAAGCTGTTTTCTTGGGTTGATCTTAAGTGTCCTCTTGTTCTGTGACATAGATAGATTTGCAGTTTTCTCGATGATGGTGCTAGTAAATTGCTCTGCTGCCTGGGCTTTTTTTTTTTTTTTTTTTTAATTAGTGTAATAAGAGTAAACAAATTACTGACATAATTGATAATAAAAATAATAAAATTTTGGAAACTGGAAAAAAAGAATAAAGCAAGCTGCCCACTCTTACTATTTGTAGTCAACATCTTAATAAAAACAAAGTCAGCAATTAGGCAAGATAAAGAAATAAAATGCATCCAAATTGGAAAGGAAGAAGTAAAATTATTTCTTTTACAAATGACATTTTAGAAACGAAAAACACTAATATTTTAAAAATTGGAATTAATGAAAAAAATTAGTAAAGTTGCAGGATAAAAAAAATCAACACAAAATTCTGTTGTGTTTCTAAGGAAATTGCATTAGTCAGCTTTCTGACACTGTGACAAAATACCAGAGGAAATCAACTCATAAGAAAGAATGATTTATTTTGGCTCACAGTTGCAGAGGTTTCAGTCTGTGGTTGCTTGGCTCTGTTGTTTTGGGCCTATAGTGAGAAAGTACGTCATGGTTGAAGCACATGATGAAGATCTGTTCACCTGATGGCAGCTGGGAAGCAAAGACAGAGAGGATGCTGGAGTCCCAATGCCACCTTAATGTACCCCCAGTGACCTATCTTACTTTCAATAAACCATACCTCCTGAAGATTCCACTGCCTTCCAATAGTGCCACAGGATGGGGATCAAGCCTTTAACATATTTAACATATTTGGGGAACATTCCAAATCCAACCTATAGCATTCCACCCCTAGCCCTCAAAAGCTCATGTATTAGAAGCCTGGTTCTCAGCCTGTGGTACTACTGACTAGAGGTAGAACCTTTGGAAAATTGGGTCTAATAGAAGAAAGCTGATTTACTGGGGGTATGTCCTTGAAAGAGATACTGGGACCCTGGCCCCCTCTTTTCTGCCTCTTAGCTACCACGAGGCAAACAGGTTTCCTGTGCCATACCATGCTGCACAATATATTCTGCAGGGTCCAGTGACCAGAGACTGAAACCTGTGAAACTATGAGCCAAAATAAACCTTTCCTCCTTATAAATGGATTATCACAGGTGTATTGTCACAATAACAGAAAGCTGACAGAGAAATTAAGAAAGCACTCTCATTTACAGTAGCATTAAAAAGAATAAAATACTGAAGATAAATTAACTAACGAGGTTAAAAAAAAAAAAACTTGAAGTATACAGAAAACTCCAAAACATAGATAAAAGAAATAAGACAGAAATACATGTCATGTTCATGGGTATTATAACAATACTGTTAAAATGGCAATTCAATCCAAAGTAATATACAGACTTAATCCATTCCTAATGGCATTTTTTATTCAAATAGAAACCAACCTTAAATTTCATCCAGAACAGAGAATCCCGTATATCCAAAGCAGTCTTGACAAGGAGAGCAAGAAGCATCATATGTCTTTTTTCCAAAATATATTATAAAGTTTACTGGGATAAAAATAGAAATATCGACCAAAGAAACAGAATACCAGAAATAAATCCACAAATATGCAGACAACAGATGTTCCACAGGAGTGCCAGAATGTACAATAGGGAAAGGATTGTCCTTTCAACAAATGGTGTGGGGAAAACTGTATATTCACAACTGAAAGAACATAGTTGGACTCTGTTGGGAAATAAGGATCTCAAAAGACTTCACTCCCACATTTATTGTACTGTTTTTCACAATAGCCAAAATGCATAAACAATATAAACATCCATTGGTGGATTAGTGGATATAAAATGCACACATACATACACACACAATGGAATATCATTCAACCTTTAAAAAGGAAATCCTGCTATCTGCAGAAACATAGACGAACCAGGGGAACCATACGCTAAGTGAATTAAGCCATTTGCAGAATGACAAATATTGCATGATTTCACTTAGATCGGGTATCTAAAGCAGTCAAACTCATAGAAGCAGAGAACAGAATGGTAGTTACTAGGGCCTGAGAGCAAAAAAAAAAAAAAAAAAAAAATGGAGGGTTGCCATGTAACTCATTTCATGTACTAGTAAATTTCAGTTACTAAAGATAAATAAGTTCTAGAGATCTGCTTTACAACATTGGGCCTAGTTAATGTTACTGCACACTCACAATTTTTTTAAGAAAGTATACTCATGTTGAGTGTTCTTATCACCACAAAAAGTCTATTAAAAGCTGTTATATGATGATACTTCGTGATTTTGCAACATGCATCCATTTCACACATAAATATTAAATTCACACATAAAAATTATATCAAACATAAACAAAAAATTATACCAAACATAAACAAAATTATGTATGATTTGTACCTTTAGAAGAAGTATATTTTAAAACTGAATCAATGAAACAAATTGAATCTCTCTTCTCTGTTAACCAAACATTAGGACTTTCTTACCATGAAGAGTTATCTCTGGTTTGTGTTTCTTGGACAAATCAATGATATCCACTCCATTATAATAGAGATTTTCAAAACACCCAGTGGACGCTCTTATGTGGCAACAGCATTGATACTCCATGTCCAAGAATCCCTCCAAAGCTGATATTAAAAAGAAAAAAAGATATAAATAATATTGTTTAATTATTTTCTGATTATCTGCCCCAAATATTAATGATTTATAGATACGATAATTGTCTTCAAATTCGCTTTGCATATTATATTGTCATATTAATGCCAAATGAAGTTTTAAGATGCAGATTTATAATTTTATTCATTATAGAGAGATTCAATCCCCTTATTACAATTTCTAGACATATGAGTCTTCTCCTAATTTTTAATGAGAATATTGTATCATTATTTCCATGGTGATCTGTATAATAGCTTATCCAGTGTATCATCGCTAAAGAAAAGGAGAACAGTAAAACTCCATGTCCCTGAATGCCCCCTTTATTTTTTTTTTATTTTTGTAGCTATAGATGGACAGCATGCCTTTATTTTATTTATTTTTGTATGTGGAGCTAAGGATCAAACCCAGTGCCTCACACATGCTAGGCAAGTGCACTGCCACTGAGCCACAGCCCCAGCCCTGAATGCCCCCTTTCTGTTCCCAAAAACCTTGCCAAGTTAAGGAAACACTGAGAGCAAGCCTGGACCGGAAAGTCCACATACGCATTATCTTAAAGGACCTGGGCTTCCTCTTACGCACAATGGAAACCAGAGCTAGTTGGTGCTACCTGTAGAAAGCTACTTTCTTACATGTACATCAGGGCAATTGCTCCTTAGGATGCTGGTCAGACAAGCTAACTAATTAGCTAATACTGATGATGTCACTGCTTCTGCAGTCTAAGGCTGAGGGCACCATGGAAAGGATATGTGACAACAGTCCAGCTGGCCACTACTGGACAAAGTGGTGAATATAACAAAGTGGTGAACAAAAGTAAGAATATAACTAGTCAAATTCAAATGAAGTTCTCTAGCTTATTGAATGGCAATATAGTAATGAAACCTGATAATGAAGAATTAAACGATTTCCCATTTTAGCAGTACATATTCCTAAGTATGTCACTGATGGCATTAAGAATAACTAAGGCTTACCTTGCAGTTAGCCAACAAGGAAATGTTTGTTCTGTACATGATTTTGCCAAGATTATTTTGGTGAAAAGGATTTTACCCTCATCATCCCTGTTGCCACTATGGTTCTGCAATAGTTAAATAATTAAAGCACCAGAATCTTCTGGAGCATTTGCTGCACACAGATTGCTGAGATGAGGCCCTGAATTTCCCACTGAGCAGGTTTGAGGTAGAAGCTGAGAATCTGCATTTCAAACAAATTCCCTCCTGGTGTCCCTGTGCTTGAGCTGGTGTCCATACTTTGACAGCCGCAGCTTTAAACCACCAAAATCATATTTCTTGGAAGATTCTCCTCAGGCAAAATGGAGTAGTGAAAATCTTACTGGTAGCTGAGACACAAAACAATGGTTTTAAAACTCTTTTGTCCTAATGCTTTGAGATGTGTCCTAATGTGACGTCTAACACTATCTAGAACAATCAACCATGTGCTAATCACTTTAAGGCAAATCTAAAATGAACTTGGACAGATATTTCTAAGCTTACTGGGCGCCCAAAGTAGCAGAGAGACCCCTGGCAAAGTGGGTGTTACTCAGTCACAGCGATCCCCGCAGCAGCCCCAGTAGTTTAAAATCCTAAAGGACAACGAACCTAACCTCAATGTCAGGGATTTAAAATGATAGACAAGGCGCAGGCGCCGGCAGCCGCTCCCGCGCGCCCTCCCCCACCCCCGCGCCCCCTCCCCCACCCCGCGCGCCCCCCTCAGCCCCGGGCCCCCCCTCAGCCCCCTCCCCCAGCCCCGCGCGCCCCCCCTCAGCCCCCCTCCCCCAGCCCCGCGCGCCCGCGACTCCGGGGCTGCAGTTTGTCTGTTTTCTATCAGTTGCTCACGCGCCTCGGGTTCGCCTTCTGTGACCCCGCAGCCGCCCAGAGCGGCTCACTTGGGAGCAGGAGTGATCCACCGGCGGCGGCCAAGGTTCCCCACGAGGCTGGAGAGAGTAGGCGGACGACGCCCAGGTCCTGGGGCCACTGGGGACGGCTGGCCTCGTCCGGGAGCTGCTCCCGAGGGCCTCGGCGCGGCCGGCGAGGGCCTGAGGACCGAGCGGCGCCCTCTGCCGAGCGCCTCGGCGCAGAGCGGGATTCCGCCAGCGGCCGGCCCCGCCTCCTCGGCGCCGCGCGGCCCCCATTGGAGCTGAGCGGCGAAGGGGCGGGGCCGGGCGGCTGCTCCTCCCCGCCCCCTGGGCCCGCAGTGGACCTCCGTGCTCCACACTTGGCAGCCCCCGCAGGTGCAGGTAAACAGATGGGACTCCATCACTGCTGGTCCCTGGTCCTGACGACTTTCGTCTTCGTGCCTTCCAGCCAGACCTCAGCCCTCAGGCCTGGGGCCTGCAGACACCAGCGGCCTCTGAACAAGGGCCTTTGTTCTTCACACTGTCCCTCTCAGGCCTCCCAGCAGGGATGGCCTTCAGAGGCCAGGAGCACTGTGAAAATTCCTGTCCCAGAGAGGAGGAGGAGGCAGGAAAGGAGGGGGCAGGTGCAACTTTGACCCAGTCAAGTGACTCTGGGGAAGACAGATGCAAAGGCCCTAAGGCAGAACCAACTTGGAGTGTTCAAGGAACCTCCAGAACAGCACTAAGCTGAGGACAAGGTGAGTAGCTGTTATGTTTGAATATGAGGTGTCCTCCAGAAGGCCAGGTGCTGACACAGGAGGGGCGCGATTGCAGTTTGAGAGCTGTAGCCTAATCGGGATTATTGGGTGGCAACTGCAGGCACATCCTGAATGGTTGGAGGAGGTGGGTCACCAGGGGTGTGCTTGGAGGCTGTATATTATGTCCCTGGCTCCTTGTGCTGTTTCTGCATCACCATGACGTGAAAGGCTTTTCTTTGCTACATTCTTCTCCTATCAACCTCTGCCTCATCTCAGGCCCAGAGCAACCTTCAGCCAACCACAGAACCTCTGAAGCTAGGAGCAAAAATCAACTTTTCTTCCTCTACCTTGTTCTCATCAGGTATTTGGGTCACGGTGACAAAAAAGCCAACTAACATAGTAGTTGAGGGTAGAGAGGTCCTTGGCCTTGGAGGCCAGTGCAATTTGTTTTTGCTGTGTGCCCTGGCCACTCCTCTACTTACCAGTGCTGTGGTCCCAGGTGAGCTGCTGCCCATCACAAAGCCCCTGTTGTCAGGTCAGATGGAATCCTTGGGCACACCCAGGGCTGTCTGAGCAGATGGCTTTGCTTGGGTATAGTATCATCCAGGATAGGTCCCTTCCCTTTCCTGGCTTGTGACTGGGTTTTAAAGAGGAAGGGGCTTGCCTCTGCCCTTCACCAAGAAAAGGTTTTTGCAAGTTTTCTCCCCATTTTCCAGATTCAGCTCCTGCAGGCTGAGGGAGATGCATCCTCTGATGGGAGGTTCTGAAACTGTCCTGGGAATGATGACTGGCCTGGGCCTTCACCCTACTCTGCCAGGTCAGAGGCACTGCATGCACTTGCATGTGTGCACCCCAGACCCTCTGATGCCAGCGCTCGCTCACCCTGCCCAGGGACAGGCCCCGGGAAGGAGCCTAAGGGCTGGGAGTCCAAGAACTCCGTGCTACCACCAAGGACCTCATCAGAGCCTCCAGTCCCTGTGGCTGGCCTGGACCTGGGGGCATGTGTTCCTGCAGCTCTGACCTCCTTTCCATACTGTAGGCCCTGAAGAGCCATAGCCACAGCAACAAGCCTCTCTACATCTCCATGGGCCACAAGATGAGCCTGGAGGCAGCCGTGTGCCTGATCTGATGCTGCTACAGGTTCTGGATCCCAGAGTCCTTGTGCCAAGCGGGGTTCAGCACATGCTCCTCCACTTCTCACCATTTGTCAGCTCTGCTGGAGTCACAGAGCAGTGGTTTGAGGACAAGATGTCCTGGGCTGAGGGCAAGTTCAGGACCCCCTTGCTGGGGATGCTCAGGCAGCTCAGCCAGAGCAGGGAGGTGTACAGCAAGCAGGAGCCAGTTTCAGATTGCAGAGCTCACTGCAGGCCCTCAGAGCCAGTGCCGGGCTTCAGATCTGCCTTTTCCATGCAGCAGCTCCTTGTATGCTACCAAGCCTTTGGGCCTTTGGGAGGAGCTGGGGGCATGGTCTGCACCTGACACCCTGCCTTCCTCAGCACAGCCCTGGAGACTGCTGAGGGGTGGGGCAGAGGGCCCTTGACATGGGCTTGAAGAGGAAACTGAGAGGAAGGGCATAGTGGGTGACCCACCTGCAGCCTGCCTCATCCCCCGTCTTTCATGTACCAGTTTGCCCCTCAGACTCCAGGCTCCCAGAGTGGAGTTGACAGAGGGTAGGCGGGGCTGGCTGCCAGACCTGTGGGCTCCATTTCCCCAGTTCCAGATCAGGATGGAAGAATATGGCCAACAATGGAGAAGAGGAGGGAGGTGTGCTGTCCTTAAAGAAATGGAGAATGGTGAGAAACCATGTCCCTGAAATGCCCTGGTCTTTCCCCAAGCCACATTAAGCCCAGACCAGAATGTCCAGGTAAATGCCATCCAAGGGACACTGACTCTCACACATGGTAAATAGGGCAGACTAGTGTTATCAGTAGGAGCTGATTTCTTGCACACACACCAGGACAGCTACTTCTTTGGACACTGGTCATGAAGAAATCGAAGCAGATGAAGCACTCTAATAATGTTACTGCTGTGGCCTGACCTGCAAACACCTCTCTCGGGGTGACTGGCCTAGTGTTGGGGCCACCATGGGGATAACAAGTTCATCTCAGCCAGCCAGCTGCCACTGGACAAGGTATGGAAAGGGATGGAGTCGCAGGAGGTGCACTGGGAAGGATGGGTGCTCCCTGTCCAGCCTGCTGCCCTGGGCCTCCCCCACAGAAGCTTTCGATATACCCATGTCGTTGGGCAGAGTGGCACAGGCTGAGGCAGGAGGCTCATAAGTTAAACTCCAGCCTCAGCAACTTAGCAAGGCCCTATATCTAAATAAAATATAAAAAAGGGTTTGAGAATGTGGCTCAGTGGTAAAACACCCCTGGGTTCAATTCCTGATACCAAAATAAAAAATTCACTGATGTCTTTCACAGCATCTGTGGATATTGGGTCCCTCAGCAACCTGTTGCACTATTCTAGTGCAACTGGGCTGTAGGCCAAACAGAAGGGCAGCAGGGAAAGACGTGGCAACATGCTGGGGTGGCGGGTTCCTGCTGAGCCCAAGGGACAGCCCAACATACCTGCCAAGCTGTCTGGCTCCTCACCTAAGCCAGTGTGCATTGGGGGTTGAGGACTCCCCATGGGGTGGTTCTACAGCAGCCTCTGAGGAAGCTGAGCACCAGCTCCCACTGAGAACCTATTTTCCTCATCAGGTTTAGATTGCATTAGACATGCAAACACATATAAAATCTCTTGGACATGCAGAAAATTCCCAGTAAGTAAAGTGAGGATGAGCAGGAGTCCAGGGTCAGGCTGGGCTCAGGAACAAAACGGTGGGCAGAGGAGTGGCACCTCCCCACTGAGAGCCTGTGCATGGGTCAGCCTCATGGACAGGCGCCCCCATGGAGTCCTGTCAAGGGTTGAAGAGAACAGGGCCACAGTGGAAGCCCCCAGAGCCATCCCTCTAAAACTTCATGTCACTGACCCATGTAGACCTGGCAAGACTCTCCAGGGGACACACAATTGCCACAGGTCTGGGCAGGCATTGCACACAAGGAGAGCCAAGAACAAGGTGGCATTCTCACCCAAACCCAGGGGTAGACATACCTTTGGGGACCCCTTTACACTAAAGATGAGAGAAACTTGCCTGGCCCTTAGGGAAAGAATGCACCTAAGTTGGCAGCAGAGGGGGTAGAGACAGGCAGGGAGCGCCAAGGCCTCCAGGGGACCTGAGCAGGGAGCAACTAGCTGCAAAAGACACCAGCAGTGTCCAGATTCCTGAATGTCTCCTCCAGGGTGCTCATGGGAAAGCGGACACCTCATTCCACCTACCTACTGAGGTGAAGGGCCTGAGCTGGTGCCCAGCCCCCTGCCAGAGTGCCCCAGGCCATCTAGGTCCCCAGGAGGCACAGCCCTGGCCAGCTGTCCACCACACCCCACACAAACCATACACACACCCGCGAACACTGATGCACACACATCCTGTACTCCCTGACATGCCCATGGAAACCAAGACTGGAAAGCTCACAGCTGGCCCCACCAGCTGCCCTTCAAACTTCTTCCAGATTTTTCCCTACCAGAGCTCCATCAGGGCCACAGTTCATGGAAATCAGAAGCTGAGCATAGCTGGGGTCTGACTGCCTCTTTCTAATGCCCTGGGCACAGCTCAGATATCAGTTAGGAACAATACATGTTCTGCAGTCCCTGAGACTGGGAAGACCCCAGGTGATAAGGAACATAAGAGTTAGCTCAGGCCTGGTGCAAGGTGAGGAAGGCTCTTATTTGGAGAAGCAGGGCTCGCAGAGGCCAGGGGTGATGGCTGTCTACCCAGCAGGTCACAGGTGGAGATGGTGGGGCAGACCCTCCCTCAGGGCTGCAGGAGCAGTGCTCAAGGGTACAAATTGAAGGAGCAGGGTGTATGGGTGGGGTACACAGGGTACAGGCCTGGGTGGGGGTGGGGCTGGGGGCCAGCAGACACTAGGCCTGAGCAGAGGGGTGGGTGGGGGTAAGGGCTAAGTGCTGTGTGTCTCAGCTCCTTCCCACTGAGCCTTAAAAATAGGTCTGGTGATGTCCTTCTTGACAGCCAAAACCCAAGCTCTCTCCCTAAGCCAGCAAGACCTGGAAAGGATGGGGAGGGAATGCTAAAACAACTCTACACACACCAAATAACAACACAGTGAAATGGACCATTCCTCAAAACTCTCAAATTTACAAAACTCTTTTTAAAGATGAACAACGAGAACTGGAATAATCCCGTAACCATTAAAGAAATTGACTTAGCGGTTACAACCCATGGGAGAAAAAGAATCTCCAATCCCAGATAGGTTCACTGTCATTTCTACTAAACATCTCAAGAAGAAATAACATCAGTTTCATTCTTTTCTCTTCCAGAAAATTGGGTAAGAGGAATCATGTCCCAACTCACCTCCTCATGGACAGATTGCCCTGATCCCCAAACCTAAGACAGTACAGGAAACACCAAACCCACAGAGCAGGGACCCTCACTAACTGGATGCATATGTGGCATCTACGGAGCCAAACAGAAAACATAGGTATGGGGACTGGGAAGCCCACTTTGGGATGTAGCTTAATAGCATGATGTTAAAAAACACATACACATTTTTTTGTATATTTGTTGATTAATTGTATATCCTCTTCTGAGAAGGGTCTGTTCAGGTTCTTGGCCCATTCATTGACTGGATTATTTGCTTTTTGGGTGCTAATCTTGTTGAGCTCTTTATATAACCTAGAGATTAGAGCTCTATCTGATGTTTGAGGGGTAAAAATTTGTTCCCAGGATGTAGGCTCCCTATTCACCTCACATATTGTTTCTTTTGATGAGAAAAAACTTTTTAGTTTGAATCCATCCCATTTGTTGATTCTTGGTTTTAATTCTTGTGCTATAGGCATCTTATTAAGGAAATTGGGGCCTAGCCCCATGTGATGGAGATTAGGGCCTACTTTTTCTTCTATTAGATGCAGAGTCTCTGGTTTAATTCCTAGATCCTTGATCCATTTTGAGTTAACTTTTATGCATGGTGAGAGATAGGGATTCAATTTCACTTTGTTGCATATGGATTTCCAGTTTTCCCAGCACCATTTGTTGAAGATGCTATCCTTTCTCCAGTGCATGCTCTAATATAAGGTAGTTGTAATTTTGTGAGTTAGTCTCTGTGTCCTCTATTCTGTACCATTGGTCTACCAGCCTGTTTTGTTGCCAGTACCATGCTGTTTTTATTACTATTGCTCTGTAGTATAGTATAAGGTTTGGTATAGCGATACCACCTGTTTCACTCTTCCTGCTTAGAATTACTTTAGCTATTCTGGGTCTCTTATTTTTTCCAGATGAATTTCATGATTGCTTTTTCTATTTCTATAAGGAATCAGAGAAATGCAAATTACAACTACTCTAAGATACCATCTCACTCCAGTAAGAATGGCAGCCATTATGAAGACAAACAACAACAAGTGCTGGCGAGGATACAGGGAAAAAGGTACACTCATTCACTGCTGGTGGGATTGCAAACTGGTGCAGCCAATTTGGAAAGCAGAATGGAAATTCCTTGGAAAGCTGGGGATGGAACCACCATTTGACCCAGCTATTCCTCTTCTCTGACTATACCGAAGGGACCTAAAAACAGCATACTACAGGGACACAGCCACATCAATGTTTTTAGCAGCACAATTCACAATAGTAAACTGTGGAGCCAACCTATGTGTCCTTCAATAGGTGAATGGATAAAAAAATGTGGTATTTATACACAATGGAATATTACTCAGCACTAAAAAAAGAATAATATCATGGCATTTGCAGGAAAATGGATAGCATTAGAGCCGATTATGCCAAGTGAAGTTAGCCAATCCCATAAAAACAAATGCCGAATGTCTTCTCTGATATAAGGGGGTGACTCAAAATGGGGTAGGGAGGAAGAGCATGAGAAGAAGACTACCACTAAATAGGGAAGAGAGGTGGGAGGGAAAGGGAGGGAGAAGGGGAATAGCATGGATGGTGGAAGGAGACCCTCATCATTATACAAGATACATGTATGAAGATGTGAGTTTGGTGTCAACATACCTTATGTACAATCAGAGATATGGTGAATTGTGGTATAAAGGTGTATTAAGAATTGTAATACAAATAATAATAATAATAGAGCTCATGTAAAAATAAACAAATAAAAATTTAAAAAACACATACACACATTTAAGATGTTTTAAAAGCATCCGCTGACAAGATTGGAAAACTCTCTGAGCCTTCATGGAGACAAAGGTGGAAGCGCAAGAAACCACCTGCACTCTGCTACCAGGAGCTCCCACCCCTGTGAGACACAAGCAGTTACTTCCTGGGAAGATTGTCAGAGACTGAGGAGGCCGCAGACTTTCACAAGTGTCAGGACTCACAGGTTTAGGAAGGGTCCAGAGCGTAAGAGTCCTAAGGAACCCACAAGCCAGTGCCAATCCCTGGTGCTGTGCCTGCCATGGGCACCTGGCCTGGCTCCATCTGCCCTTTGATGAGGCTCTTTGGGGAACAGTTCCTCAGGGACCTGACAACCCATTTCTTCTTCATTTAAAGACCCTTGTAATGACATTGGACCCACCAGAATAATGGATGAATTATAAATAATTTTCATTTTTGATGAGTGTAAAGAAACATGTGCTTTGAAATCATGGCCGTTAACATCTCTAAACCATGGTTCTGTCCTTAGACGGTTATAACAATAACTAAAGGACTGCCACAGCTGACCCACCCGCTGGATGTCTCCTCGAATTCCCATGTTGCAGTCCTAGCCTCCAGCCTCTCAGAATGCAATGGTATTTGAAGACAGGGCCTTCAAAGAGGGAGACTGAAGCTCTTCAGGTGGGCCCTAATCCAGTCTGGGTTAAGAACAGATTAGGACACGGACACTCACAGACAGGTCACCATGTAGTGCACAGATGGCACCTACAAGCCATGGAGAGAGGTCTCAGGAGAAGCCAATGATGCCGACACCTGGATTTCTGACTTGCAACTTCTAGAGCTGCAAGATGATAAACTTCTGTTCTTTAAGTCACTCGGTCTCTGGTGCTTTGTTGCAGGCAGCCCTAACAAACTACAATAGCACCCATTTCTGGAAACCTGGTCCCTGTTCTAAAAGAAGGCTAGACATTTTTGTGCCTGTCCCCAACAGGGGATGGCAGGGAGTCTGGTGAGAAGAAAATCTCCAGTCACCATGCCCAGCCTCATTTGTTCTGGGAGGTCATCATGCTGTTCCCTCCAGAGGTGTGAAGGGGAAAATAGAGGTGGGACTAGATGGCACCTCCCCCGGAGGACAGATTAGGGACGCCCAGTCCTTCCTCGGGAATCTCCTACTCCAGCTAGAGAATGAAGGAGCTGTCTCTCTCCTGTGGTCCTTGGGTGGAGGTGCCTGAGGCAGGAGTGTCAGGGGTCCTCCCCTCTTCATCCTGGAGTGGGAAGAGGTTGCTTCTAAGGTGCTTCCAACCATCAAGAAGTGCAGGCTGCTGCTTACTTCTTAACAGATACTCAGGCTGCATCACACATCATATGACAATACTCAGATTTCAAGGTGGTTGAGATAACTGAGAAGCATCCAGCAGGTGGGATGCAGTGGTGCTTGTGGTCATGGCAGCTCCATGACCATGGCTTGGCTCCCAGATCTGCAGGCTGGTGCAGTTGCATGCTCTGAGCATGGAGCTGGTGAGACCATGGTTAAGTGGATAGAGCCCCCTAGCAGAGCCTCGGCCAGAGCAGGAAGGTGGGCTCCCAGCCGATGGTTGCCCAGAAATGCAGCAGGGCTTCGTGTCCACTGTGCTGCCCACAAGGTTTCAGGGTTTGAGTGTTAGGTTTTGATCCCAGCTCTGCTCAGGCATAGCTGTCCTTATTCAGCACAGCAACCAAGCTGATGACTTTATAGCAGAGTAGCTTGGCCTGTCACCTTGTTGGGCAGGGTTTGTGTTTGTTCTTCTGCTGCAGAGAGGACAAGGACATTTTTGCAAGCCCTGGCTTCACTCTCTTCTCTTCTGCCTCCCTGTGGGTCATTTTCCTGTTAAACAAAGGTTTGCTCTTCATTTTATTCCCCTGTTTCTCATTATATTTCAGGTTGCTTCTCCCATGCCAGCTTTGTTTCAGGAAGTATACAGTGGTTCCTCATCTGCAGGGATGCACTCCAAGACCATTTGTGGATATCTGAAACCGCAGGTACTACTAACCCCCACATATAAGTTTGTTCCTCCACATACATACCCAGGTGTTGGGAGCAGCAAATAAATCATCACTTTGAACACCATCAGCTTGGGCATCGAATTGCCGCCTCTGGGAATCTTTCCATGCAATGGTGCTGAAAGACACGCCCATTTGCAGGTGGACGGGGTTAATGGGGCAGATTCCATGCCTGGCATGGAATCTATGGGTTCCATAGCTCTGCATTCTAATACCTGCTGCCATGGGGTGGAAAAAATATAAGTGTGCTCATTAGCCTTCAGAAGCCAGGTGTCCAGAGCTAGAAGAAGATATTCAGCAAGTAGATAAGCTCCAATTACCCTATTCCTGGTGCTTGTCTTCAATTTTTATTTATCTTGAAGAAGTTTTTCTCTCACAGTAAATCCCTTTGATGTGTTTTCCTATAAATAAAAGGCAGCAGGCTTTATTACTTTGTTAAGAGATCGACCCTTAAGATCTGATCTACCCACTGTGGCCCCCTGTAAAGCTATTTTCCTGTCTTTGTCTTTATTTCTAAATATTTCTTCAGACCTTTAATTTTCTCAGCCAGTTCACAATTCCGTTTGGTGTACTGATCCCTTGCTGTGGAAGACACAGCTGAAAGAAAAGTGACCACAACACTCAGAGCAACAAAGAGATCTTTATTGCAGCAGTGCAACAGAGGAGAAGAGAGAGAGAGAGAGAGAGAGAGAGACAGAGAGAGACAGAGAGAGACAGAGAGAGTGAGAGAGAGAAGAAAGAGAGAGGGGCCCTGCAGGAGGAAGTTTTTATAGCCCAAATATAATGAGGTCTCTGGGTCTGCAAGCTGCCTTGTTGGCACAAGGGGGGTTACGTGTTTGGCCTTGAGCAGGGAGTTGAGTGTTCAGCCTTGAGTTGGGGCTTGGGCGTTTGGGTTTGAAGGAAATAGTTGATAAAGAACAGATAGAGGGTTTGAGAGGCCAGGTCATTCTGCAGCTAACTTTGTTTGGCATGCCCTGCAGACAACTTACTCAGCCTGTCCTGCACCTAACAACAGCCATACCTAAGGTAAACTTCAATTTATAAATGATACACAGTAAGAGTAACAATGTTAATAAAACAGAACAATTATAATAACACAGTAATAAGAGTCACATGCACTATATAAATTGTTTATTTCTGGAATTTTCCATATATTGTATTTGGACTGAAGTTGACTGGGTACCTATAACTACAGAAAGCAAAACCAAGGATAAGGGAGGACTACTGGATAGAAATTTAATTTCTATACTGATACAAAATGTTCAACTCATCTTGAATCATTTTATTTCAGAAAGCAGTTTTCTGTTATGAAATCAGGGAAAGTTTCCTGTTTGGGAAATTATTTGTAGCTCCTCCAACCAGCCTCCAATCTTTTTCTTTATATAGTGTATTGTCTGCGAAACCCTCTTCTTCATTTACATCTGAAAAACTGCTATCATCCTTCCTGGCCCAGGACAACACCCTCTCCTCCGGGAAACCTTCCCAGCCAGCACCCAGCAGCCCTGGTTCTACCCTGTCCTCTCTCCTCCACTTTCTGAACATTCCACTTCTGCCCTGGCCACTGTTCCAGGCTTGGTTGTATGGCTTTCTCTGCAGAGGATGTGACTCCTCTGTCACCCTGCCTGGCCCAGAACCTTGCACACAATAGAGAGTAGTTTGTGTTTTGAAAGAGTGGGCTGAATTAAAGCAGAGAAGGTATTTCCTTGCGGGATTTTCAGTGTGCAGGAAGCCTCTGTCTTCCCCAGGGACTGATATCCAGTGCCCTCCTGATCTAGTCCTTCCCAGCCTGGCCTTCAGGCACCTCAGGGTTGGACCCAGCTGCCCCTCCTCTCTGTGTCCCCCACATTTTACCTCCTCTGCAGACACACCATTTGCATCTTCAATTTTTCTTCAGCTGGCCTTTCCCTTCCTTGATTGTTTCTGGGGGTATACAGTGGTCCCCCATCTGCAAGAGACTTTTCCTTTTAAAGATCCCTTAGCTCTAACTTTTCTGTGAAGTCTTCCCTATCTCTATCTCTTTTAACCCCAGTCAGTTTTTACTGGAAATACTCCATTCTTTTTTTTTTTTATGATATATTAGGTTTCTTATTTATTTTGGATTCGAAGGAAATACCCCATTCTTGAGAGTGATGTTTTCTTTCTTGAAATGATCTGCTTTCTCCAGGTATACTGACATCTGCTTGAGGTCAGAGACTGTATATATATTATGTTAATCATTTGACCGTCTTTCAGTCAACAAAGTGCTTGGGAACTGAAGAAGGTACTGACTTGCTCCAGGTCCTAGGAGCCGCAGGGACCGGGATAGAAAGGCCCCAGCCTATGTCTCCCTATCCTCAGGGAAGATTAAGAGCAGCCCGAGCAGGGCATGGGTACTTACGAACATAATGGGATGATGATGTAGTTTCAAGAGTGGACTCATTTAAATACAGCTAGTTCACCAACTAGTCTGTCTTCTCATTCTTGAAAGAATTCACAGTAGTGTATAGATACTGGTTCCATGTTGAGAGCCACAGCCACAGCCGAAGGGGCCCCAGCAAACTTCCAGCTGCCAGCAAACTTCCAGCTGCCGGCTGATGATTGGCTCACAGCGGCCCCAGCAACATCTAGCTGATTGGCTCCTCTGCGGTGATGCTCATTGGGCTGTTTCCCTGCCCTTTCAGACCACGGAGCTGCTCATTGGGGGACTTTTTTGGCTCCACCCACGTGACCCAGCCAATCGGCCTCAAGAGGAGGAGGATTGTGGGAGGTGGAGAGAAGCCGGGTGTGGGAGAGAGAGGCTTGTGGAAAGCCGGTGGTGGCAGTTGAGGCTCTGAGGGTTTTTCCTGAGAGGCTGTTTTGTTTGGCTGTGGTTCTAAAAATAAAGTTAGTATCTTTTGACAAGTGGCTCCTGATTGTGCCCAGCCAGACTGCGGCATTTGGTGGCTCGCACGGGGAGCGACTGAGGGTAAGTGAAACTGCTTGCCCCTGAGGGCAGGGCGAGAGGATGGGTAGCCATTTTAAGATTCCTCTTTTATTTTGCTTCACTTTTGTTTTAAGTTGCCTGTCCCTGGAGATGAGTGAGACGGAAGAAAAACCGCTCACATCTGAGGAAAAACTATTTACGTCTGAGGAACAGATAGGGAGAAAGGACGGATGCCCATGTCAGGAGGATAGAAAGGCTATAATGACTTTTTGTTGTTGCCTTTTTATTTCATTCTGTCTCGGTTTTGTTTGGCGTCATCTTGTTGGGTTGTATTATAGTAGAAATACGGGATCAGAAATTAGTAAAAAACAAACTGAAAGAGTGTTAAGTAAATTGTTAGAGGAAGGGGGCATCCCAGTAAAATCAAGAGCAGTCAGGGCATACGTTGATACAATACAAAAATGTAGCCCATGGCTTTTTAAGGAGGAATGGTTAAATATATCACAATGGAACCATCATGGTGAAGATTTAAAAAGAATAGAAAAGAAAAGCCCAGGGACTCTGCCAGATGGCACATTGCCATTGTGGACATTCATATCTTGTTTGCTTAGTCCAAAGCCTTCAGTTCAGACAATGGTAGAGGAAGGAGAAGACATAATGATTCAAGTAAAAGACAAGGTCTCTCAAGTTAGTCAGACAGAGGAAAAGATTCAAGTAAAAGAGAAGGCCTCTCAAGCTAGTCAGACAGAGAAAGAAAGTGTAAAACAGAAAAAGCCATCAGGGGGAAAGTTACAACAGGAGACTGCTACTAACACCTTTCTATCACCAGAGGGTGTAAGTGTCCAACCAACAGCACCACCTCTACAGGAGACTGCTACTAACACCTTTCTATCACCAGAGGACGTAAGTGTCCAACCAACAGCGCCACCTCCATATGCTGGGAGGCCCCCAACCCCCGCAGTTGATAGTTGGGATCCTGAGACAAGATCTCAAATATTAACATGCCCTGTATTTGAGGCAGGAGGGCAGCGATTTTACCAAGTTTTAAATTTCAAAACAGTGAAGCAGCTAAAAGAGGCTGTAACAACCTATGGTCCTCAAGCACCCTTCACTGTAAGCATGGTCGAATCCATTAACAACTTGAACATGACGCCAGCAGATTGGGCTAATATGTGTAAAGCTGTGCTAAATGGAGGACAATACCTGTTATGGAAGGTTGCCAATGAGGAATTTTGCAAGGAGACGGCTAGGCGAAATGCAGCAGCTGGTTATCCTCAGAGAAATCTAGATATGTTGTTAGGAAAGGGACCTTATGAGGATCAGCAGCAACAAATTGCATATGATCCTGGCGTATACGCACAAATTGCTGCAGATGCAATTAAGGCATGGAAGACTTTACAAGGACATGGAGGTTTACAAGGTCAATTATCTAAGGTAATACAAGGAGCTAATGAACCTTATGCTGAATTTGTAGATAGGCTTATTCAAACAGCTACCAGAGTTTTTGGGAATACAGAACAAGCAATGCCATTACTAAAACACCTGGCTTATGAGCAAGCGAATCGTTGGTGCAGAGATATCATTAGACCATGGAAACATGAAGATTTAAACACATATATTAAATTATGTAGAGACATTAATGAACAAGAGCAAGTCGTGGCAGCTGCAGTAAAACAGGCTTTAGATGCCAGAGACATTAATGAACAAGGGCAAATTGTGGCAGCTGCAGTAAAACAGGCTTTAGATGCCAGGCCAAGAACATGCTACAATTGTGAACAAACAGGACATTTTAAAAGGAATTGCCCCATTGGAGGAGGGTTTAACAAAACTAGGTATCAAAGGAGTAGAATACCAGGTATTTGCCCACGATGCCGTAGAGGGAGACATTGGGCTAATGAATGCCATTCTCAAACCACCATAGAGGGTACTCCATTATCAAAAAACGAACAAGGACCAGGTGTTTATCCACGATATCGTGGAGAAAGGCATCGGGCTCCATTGCCAAAAAATGGACAGGGGGGCCCAATGCTCCGGGGCCCCAAACCACAAATATACGGAGCACTGGAGGAACCCAGCAACCCCATCAGGGTAGTGCCCAGGACACATTGTCCATCAGATCCCTCATCAGACAAACCAGAGGGAGTGCAGGGTTGGACATCTGCGCCTCCGCCAGAGCAGTACTAACTCCAGAGATGGGAGTTCAAATCATTCCCACAGGGGTGAAAGGACCTCTTCCCAAAGGAACAGTAGGCTTATTATTGGGACGCAGCTCTTCTACTCTAAAAGGACTTATGATAAGTCCTGGGGTAATTGATCCCGATTATGAAGGTGAAATAAAAATTATAGCCAGTTCTCCAAAGGGTATATCAGTAATTTCACCAGGAGATAGAATAGCACAGTTACTAATAATACCCAGCCTACATGATAAATTTTCCAGTCGTACTGTAAAAAGAGGTTCCAAGGGATTAGGCTCCACAGGTGTAGATTGGGCTATGCTTTCTTTAAATTTAGATTCTCGCCCCATGCTAAAACTAAATTGCCGCAGTCTGGCTGGGCACAATCAGGAGCCACTTGTCAAAAGAAACTAACTTTATTTTTAGAACCACACACGCCAAACAAAACAGCCTCTCAGGAAAAACCCTCAGAGCCTCAACTGCCACCACCGGCTTTCCACAAGCCTCTCTCTCCCACACAAGCTTCTCTCCACCTCCCACAATCCTCCTCCTCTTGAGGCCGATTGGCTGGGTCACGTGGGTGGAGCCAAAAAAGTCCCCCAATGAGCAGCTCCGTGGTCTGAAAGGGCAGGGAAACAGCCCAATGAGCATCACCGCAGAGGAGCCAATCAGGTAGATGTTGCTGGGGCCGCTGTGAGCCAATCATCAGCCGGCAGCTGGAAGTTTGCTGGCAGCTGGAAGTTTGCTGGGGCCCCTTTGGCTGTGGCTCTCACCATCTCCCCCTCTCTGTTTAAACAACAAGCATGTGGCTTAGGGACCGTGCCTGTTAGGCAGTCCAATTCAACATATGGTCCTTACCCGTCATCGGATGAACTGACCTCTAGGCGTCAGCCTCCTGTCTTAGGTTGGTACCACTGCAATTGGATCATACCCGTCACTGACTACCGGTCCAGCATACAGCCATACTTGTGGATAGGCCTTTGCACCTGTGGGGGGGTGAGGTTCTTTGCCTCACCTCTGTTGGCCCCCAAATTTTAGACCATCACTAGTAGAGGAGGATGCAAAATGCCATGACATTAAGCCAATTGAGGGCTCCTTTGAAAAATTGTACCACCGGTGACACCATCAGCAAAAATACTCCAGCACTACCACAATTCGCTGTACCAACAGATAGTTCACAATGCATACAGGTGAGCTCACAATGTGTCCAGGCAAGTTCTGCAAGCAGTTCAGTGATGGCTATTGTAGAAGCTGTAGATTGGTTTTATCTTTGACTTCACTAGCACTGGGATGAAGATAGGAATTCTGGCAATAATGGCTAAAGAAAAAATTATCTAACATTACAGAAGGCACTAAAAGAAAACAATTTTCTTAACAATTTACATTGTCTTCACCAGCACTGGGATGAAGATAGGAATTCTGGCAATAATGGCTAAAGAAAAAATTATGTAACATTACAGAAGGCAGTAAAAGAAAACAATTTTCTTAACAATTTACATTATCTTTAAGAGAATTATTAAATATAATGAAAAGGAAAGGTGAAAGTAAACAAACAGATCTGTTAACCTTCTTTTTTGTTTACATATTAAAACAATCCTCAACAGTTGTTTACCCAATTTAAATTAAACCATATAAATCACGTGAAAAAAAATATTTGGATCCATTGTATCATGAGCGCTCATCTTATATGATATATGGACATACGTACATTCAAACGTATAACACAAAACACAAGTGTGCACACATAATATAATACATACAACACATAACATTATAGTAAAGGCCTTATAACTTTTTACAGGTGAAATCTCCATTGCAATGTTTAAAAACTCTATAGTCAAAAAATAGAACTGATCAGCAAAACATTAACCTAGGTCTGTATGAGCTCAAAAAACAAAATAGAACTTCATGATATGGCAAAGGGCAATAATAAAATAGATATTGAAAAAAGCATCCTGGTTCTGTTGCAGATGTAAGAATAGCCAAACTGGAGTTTTGGATATCAGTTGTTACGGATTTGAGCCAAATCATCTTCTTTTTGGTCTGTAGAAATCGCTTTAGTTAATCTTTCTGGAATCCAAATCGGCTGCTGTTCTCCCTGTGGAAACACATAAACAGACCCCCGACTCCAGACAATCACTGGGTCAGGACCTTGGTTAATCTCTCTGGAATCGAAATCGGCTGCTGTTTTCCCTGTGGAAACACACAAACAGACCCCAGACTCCAGACAATTACTGGGTCAGGACCTTTCCATTGTCCTGTTAGAATATCCTTCCAAAGTACCTTGGGCTTATGTACATTTTTTGGACACATATGCCTTTCCGCAGCACTAAGTCCTGATGAATCCAAATTTAAAAAGTTTAGAGTAAAAAGGGTTATTTTAAGTTTATCTTTGGGGAATATATACCCCTTCCCAATTCCTTCTTTTTGCTTTAATAAGTACATTTTAATAGTTTGATGAGCTCTTTCAACTATGCCTTGTCCCTGTGGATTGTATGGGATTCCTGTTATATGAGTAATGCCAAATGTTGAGCAAAATTGTTTAAAAGAGGTAGAAGTATAACCAGGGGCATTATCTGTTTTTAACGGTTTTGGAACACCCACAGTGGCAAAATTTTGTAAGCAATGAG